AAGCGACATTTCTAATAACATTTAATAACAACATATGCAAAACATGTTTTTTAACTAAATTCCGAACGCACTACGTCCCAGCCCTCCTTTTATGAAACACCGCAAATCGGAGTCCAGAGTAATGTCGCCTCCTGGTTTTTTAGTACAGCGGAGCTGTTAAGGGCTAGGTTCCCCAGGACCGTGTCCAGTATATTGATATGAACCTACCTGGACAGCTACCGCCATCTATAAGCGATGGCGGCAAGCACACAACCAGTATGGTTTCCGCCGTCGCTCGTAGATGGCGCCAACCTTTCCAGCTATCACAGAAGATTTGATAGTTGGGCGCGTTGGTGGGAATTCATCGTAGGAAACAGCGCAAAAAACAGACGACGACGAAGAAGAAGCACACGTAACGAGCGCAGCGCTCGTCACGTTTGTTTATTCGTCCTCGTCTATTTTGCGCGCTGTTTCCTACGCTGCTAAGCTCATATCAGTTGTGGTTTGGACTCATGATGGGTCGGCCGCGCACCCTACGCAGCAGCGCGAATGGGTCCGCAACCGCCGCAAAGCCGCTGTCGCCCCAACTTCTACTGCGTCCAGCGCTTCAGATTCCCTTGCTAAAGAGCACATCGCTCCCCTGTACAGCCGCTGCCAAGAACAGAACCAGCGATGTAAAGGGCGCCGGTGGCCCAACGCCACGGGCGACGATCGTGCCACGCAGGCCAAGCGCAAGCGCGAGGCCCGGCGACGATTGCACTCCACGCCGGCTGAACAGTTCCCGGGTGCGACAGCAAGGTTGCGGAGGGAGCTCGTGGAGAACCCGTTTGGCGTCACGTGCAGCGTGTGCAACCGACTCTGGTTCGCCGGAGACTTATCCACGATCAGCCGCGTGTCGGACGAGAAGCGGGAATCGGGCGCGTGCGCGTTGTGACAGTGTATCGAGTACAGCTCCACTGGTCTTCATTCTTCACGAGAGTGGAAAGGCTGAATGTTTTTCTCCCTCAGAAAACATGGCGGCGCCGCGGCGCACGGCACGTATGGCACTGAAGAAAATTGGCGAGTCGGGGAATCAAACAGTTTCCTTTTTTAGGTGCCCGACGACCACTCAGACTTACAAAGGGAAATCGTCAAACGGTCAAAACCACTGGGTTTGGTGTCTGTGTACCGTAGTTTCGGTAATGACTTCGCCGAGGCAGCCTTTCAATCAGAACCGGTGCGACGTGGCCCCTCACGTTGCTGACAATAGTCTACTGTGCGTTCCCTTCGACTTCACACCGTTTCAAAGAAGTTGAGATCGCTGAAAGGGCCTTAGAAGGACTTCAAACTCGCGAGTCAAACATTGTCTGCTCGCAGCAATAGGCGGGACGCACGGAGGAAAGCAGCTGTTCGCGGATCGCAGGCAAACACAACACTTCGGATCACGGCGGTTCAGAGGTGTGAGAAAAACTCGAGTTGCAGGACGACTCAGTCTTTGACGTCACTGCACTGGCACGGATTGCGAGAGAACTTCAAATATGGTTTTTGGAAATTGTTTTTCTACTTCATAAATACTGGGTTCCCTAGTTTCGATTTTTGAGGGTAATGTCCAGGCATCGTATTAAATTGTTTCAAATAATAAAAAGAAAAAGGATTTTGATGCATTAGCGCCTTTTTAAAGAGCATTCAGTTCTTTATAACAACCGGCGCCCCAGTTTGAAATGGATCTAAAAAAAAGACTTGGCTTGCCAACAAATAAGTGCCGCTATCCGCTTGACAGGTACATACTGTGCCAAGTAAGCTCGAGTGAGTCTACGTCAATTTAGCGATTGTGCTTTCATTGTACAGTTCACAAGGAGCCTCTCTAGTATAGCAAGTTTTTCTGTTGCGGCGAAAACGAGGAATGTGAAGCTGCACAACAACTAAAATGAAAAGGAAGATAAACGGGAACCCGTGCGGCAGCAGGAATCGACGGTGGCTCTTGAGAGCTTTCAAGAAGTGACCCGGAGCTAACCACTTGCCCTGGCCATTACATGCTCAGGTGTGAACACCGGTGGTGGCTAACCGTATGTGCTCGCCAAGCGCGCGACTGCTCTGGGTTGCAAGTGTAAATGCACCAGGCACCTCACCTCCCTTGAGAAGAGGAAAGTGTAAACTGCAAATATGAGTATACTGTTTTTCCTCGGAAAGACCACAGTAGCATTTTTGCTCAAAACAAAGAGTAATGGTCGGAATAATAAGTTATTGACACAGAATAAGCATTGCGTTTTCCCTGTAAAAGTTTTGAGAATCAAACGATCAAATTTAATTCTTAGAGACTTCAAGAGTCACAGTGCGTCGAATGTCTCCAAGTACCCTTACGAGATTTCTGCGGTGCAAGTAGGAGAAGCTGCTCGTGCCCAAAATTTTTGCCGGCTGGAAGAGGGAGGGCAGAAACCAGCCAGGGAAGAATGCTGGACACAAGGAGCACCGCGGGCCGACTCGGATTACAGAAAAAGAAGCGAGGAGACCCCGAGGTTCTCCGCACGGCGGGCGGCAATGGTGTTCCTGCCTCCTGTCTGGCTGGCCGCACATCTCCCCAGGGACCCCTCCACAGCACAATGGATGCTAATTTCGCCGGTGCAAAAATGCGCCAAATCGTTGCACAAGGCAGACTTGCGCGGATGGCACACAGCCATTGAGAAATTCGCGATGGTGTCATCCCTGAACGGGCACGGTACATGCGGAAAAGTGCGGTTGCACGCTGCTGGCCAAGCTTGGCTTGCCCGGACTGCCGTGCCGTGAAACAAAAGGCGCGGAGGCTTGACTTTTTTAGCTTTTATGTTCCACATGGACCTTGCCCTGGGGAACGTGGAAAGGAGAGAGAAGAATCCAAGAAAAGACACAAATTACAGGGACTGCAGCGACATGACAGATGCATTCACCCCTCTCGTTCCTCTCCGCTCGGTAACTTCGCTCTCTCTGCCTTTCTCTCTTGCTGCTCGCTGTATCCGACCTAGGTTTCTGACCCTCCCCCCATTGTCGCGTGTCCACGTCTCAAAATGTTCTGTGGAAAACCCTGGTTATAAAAAATGAATGCAGATAACAACCTTCTCACTTCTGTAACATGTGGTGTTAAATTTCCAACCAAACCAGCAATAATAACAAAAAGAAAACTGCACATTTCAGAAAGGTATATAATAACAAAAATTGTGCTGTGTGTACATTTATACAGCTGGAAGTTGATCTGTCCCATTGGGCATCTGGTGTTTCAGATGTAGATGAGCAATTTAGCCACTGCAGTACAACTGCTAGCCTGGGGTCTTTTAACGTGCATCACGCAGTAGTGATACACAACCGCACGCCGGTACGATGCTCATCCAGATCGAAACGGGCAGGGGTGGGGACTCGTAGTAACCGCGAAGCATCCAAAAGCGTACCCGAGCACAGTGTCCCAATCCTGTCAATCCTTCGCGCAAGGTCTGCCACCGTGCTCCCGTGAGACCGTTCTGGCAGACCCTCATTGTTTAATTCGCCCGTCCCGACCTTCATACTGCGTGCCGCCGAGCGTGCGGGCACTGCCTGGAATGCATCTTTGACCCGTGTGTTTAGCATCGCACATAACCCACACTTTGAAAGCGGCAATATATTACGTCGCAAGAGCAGGCACGTTGCGCTGCCAGACGTCGTAATCCCGACGGATGGTCGTAGAAGTTGATGCAGAAAAGAGGAGCGAATGCAAGCGTCAACGTTGTCTGAACTTCCAGATGTCGAAGTTTCTGTGAACTGTCGAACTGGAGCAGATTGGGCATCTGCCGTAGCTGCCTCCTACGTTACCGCCGGGACCGTGGCAGGCAAGAGCATGACACAAGAAACACATCGGATGAGAATCAAGAGACCGCAGAAGAGGATGCGGTAAACGCACCTATCAGAGACGCCTTTTGGACATTGCACCCCAACTTTCACGCCGTGCCCCACCGGGCACACAAGCAGGATGGATAAATGGATGGTAATGGCTATACCCTTTGTAACGGGCAGCAGCTTGCACCACCTAGCCTAACACTTCATCGTCCCTTTTAGGGGCGATGTGAGCACCGGCGTCCGTGCTCACATCGATTGCCATCCCATCTGTCTTTCTAAAAAAAGAAAAAAAAATGTTTGCACAGTCGACAGGATTCAAACCTGTGCGGGAGACCCCAATGGATTTCTAGTCCATCGCCTTAACCACTTGGCCACGACTGCGGAACGAGTAGGGGGCTCTGGGATGAGGTAGTAACTCAAGAGCTAGGGATGTCATGAATGAGGCGTTGCATGTAGCCGCTCAACGTCTATACAGGAGAGGGCGCCGCGGTCAAATGCGTATATATATTTTAAAAAATCAGCACCATCAGCACTACCTATGAACAAAATCAGTATCATGAGCACCACCAGAGCTTTGCCCCAATCAACATCATTCACCACGTGGAGATGCGGTAATTTTTTTTTTGTAAATTTGTATATATTTTATTTTAACAGAACCCCACCCCCTTTAAAGTGTTTCCATTGCTCATTTTTTACCCCTCCCTAGATCTTTTCCACCAATCTTCCAATCTCCTCTCAGTTACCGCAATTCTTTCCCCATCCATTCATCCCTCCATGTCTGCAAATCCCAGTGCCCCCTCCAAATCCATTGTCATCGCCCCCAAGAGGGTGGGACAAAGCCCCGTGCACCTTAGAATTACTACATGTTCTATAGTTTCTTTTTCGTGGTTGCACATGTCTCTATACTCTGATCGGCCTTATCTCGTTGAATGCATTTAGATCTCAGCTTGCGGGTTTGGTTTGTCAACTTAGTGTTTAGACTTTTCATATATAGATACTTGTACACTTCCCCTGCCCAGCGTGTATCCTCGACTTCAGCAAGTCTTTCTTCAAAGTTTACTTTACTGATCGCTTCTCTACCCTCGAAAGATGCCCACCCCATATCACCCTGTACTCCCTCAGATGAGTGAAGGGATGGCAGTGGCCCGACCTCCGGTATAGAGCAGATGCCTGCGCCGCTAGGCGTGCGAGGAAGTCCTCACCCAGCAGGTCGTTCGCCCTCCTCCGTGGCCGCCTAAACTCGGAGAGGTCTCCCGTGCCGAAGAGGGCGACGGTGAGCTTCTCCGGGAAGCGGCAGCCTTCCCAGCGCTTCAGCGGGATGCTCAGGCCCGCCTTGGGACGGTAGAAGTCGTAGTAGGCTCCTTCGCTGACCTGCTCCTCCTGGTAAACCGTGCGGGTGCTCGGCACAAAGCTGAGCAGCGGGCTGCCGCCGCCGGCCGTCAGCGAAGAGCCGGGCCGGATCAGCCGCGCCGAGTCATCGAAGGGCATCACCGCGGATGGGTCGTGCTGCTCTGGCTGCTCCTCCGGCTCCAGGAGCTCTAGGCCGCTCCCGGAGCGCTCCGGAGGTGCAGAGGCCGCCGTGCGTCTCCGCTCGTAAAGTGCGCCGAGACTCAGGGCTCCCTGTGCCTGCACAGCGAACGGGGTAAAGGAGCTGTCACGCCGCTCGTACGTCGTAGAAAACACTCTTGCCCCAGACATGCCTCAAGTGTGTTCCAGGCACGTCTGCTTCGTGCACGCTTTAAATAAAGACGGTTTTTGAATGGCGAGGACAGTTTCTGCAGACTGTCTTTTGTATGATGCATTATGAATTAAAGGGAGACATGGGCCCTTGGAGCCAAAAAATCCACAAACAACAGTTTTTTTCCAAAACGATGACTTTGAAATCTACAACCATTTTTCTTTTGATCTTTCAAGTTTCTTATTCTGAAGATTAATATTTAAGCCATAGTATCACTTTATAATACCCATATAGGCTGAAATTGCACTGAAGCTGGTGCTAAAACAACACTTTCTCAAAACAGAAATTTTGGACTCCTTGCAAATTTTCAGAAGGGATATTTCAGCATCTAAGGCGGACAGAAAGATAACTTTCTAGCACCATAGAGCTAAATGTGCAAAGCATGCAATGTTGGAAACAGATTTTTCAATATAGGTGTAGGAAATTTTCTAACTGAAAAAATGTTTTTTTGCTTGGTAGCCACACATTGAGCACTGAAGTTCAACATGTTGTAAAGTCACTAATAATGGTTCTGTCTAAAAAGTGCTTCCAACATTGCATTGTATCTGACCATATGTTAAAACATTATTTTTTTTAAATGATTTTTCTCTATTGTTTTTGAAAATGAAGTCTATTTAATTATTATTTTCCTGAAAAGTAACCTACTAATTAAAAAAAAATATAGAGATATTTGAAGTCAGCTCAAAAGTCTGAACAAGCTTGTGCTGTTTCATTAGGCTTGGCCAAACAAATAAAAAAAAAGCCCCAAAACCAGTGTTCCCACTTAAAGGCCGACGATCAGTTACGGGATTCTGCAAGGCAGAAAATCCTCCTCACCATGGGGGAGGAGGAAACAGGCAACGGTGGACAGGGTGATAGGGGAGAGAGGAGGAAGCGGGGGACAAGTGGATACGCGAACTGGTCGTCGGTCTTTAAAGAGATGCTGAACCGAAATCTGGATTCCACAAAACAAGTGGCAAAAGCGTGCAACGGGATGCTACGAACACCAAAACATCACTCATACAGTGATATCTCCAACGGATGACCGTATTTTAAAAAAAAAAGAGGCGCATTCACAGAAATGGTTACGTCTTGTTTTTCGAGAAGGAGAGGGAGCGACCTCGCGTCTTTTCCACCTCGCTGCCTTGAGGGAGCGAAGTGAAGAGAGGAGGAAACGAGATATCTTCCCGTCACGTGCCTCGTCAGCCTGGTTCAATCTCGACCTCCTTCTTCAAAAATACCGCCGTCCATTCGAAATATCGCCTTACGAGTAGTGTGGTTGTGATTGTAGCGTCCTGCCTACATCTCCTGCATTGTTTTTTTCAAGCCTAAATTTCAGTTCACCATCCCTTTAGGAACCCCAAAGGGGTTTCTAGAAGAAACCTGAGTATGGTGGCTGCAAAGAGACTGGTGTGTTTGCCTCGCAAGTGGTCCCTCCATTTCTGCCCAAAGACATAGCATCACACTGTTGCCTGCCGCCATCCCGGAAGAGCATTAGACGTGGAGAAGGCAGACGCCCGTTTGCTCTAGGTCCATTTCCAGCTAATTATATTATGAACTTTTGGGGACATTTTTTTCTTTCGAGATATAGCTATTATTCTTTCCGGTTTGGACTAATTTCTGGACGAATAATTGTGTTTGACGAATCAAATATTGCATTAGAATACAAGCCTCTGCTCTGATCTTTAAATTATACCGCAAACCTAAAAAAAACAAAAAAACTTAACGAGCCACACAGAATGTGCATTTCCCGTAGCGAGGAAAGAGGGAGCCCAGCCAAACCCACCTGGAGGTCCCGCAGCGTCTCGTCCGACGTCCCGAGGAAGGAGTTGAGGACGGCGCATGGCTTGTTCGGGCAGAGCAGCGCCAGCCGGATGGAGGGCCACTCTGTCCCATACACGCCGCTGTAGAACTCGTCAAAGTGCCGCAGCGCCCTCTCTTTGCCCGAGGCGCCAGACCGCCCCTTGGCCTGCAACGGAGCAACGGTTCCCCATTTCACGGTGGGATGCATGGATGTTAACAGCTGGACCCTTTATAACAGGCAGTAGACCTAGCGGGAAAAACAAAAACACATTTCCTTCCCTCACTCTACAACCTTCTTTCTCCTCTGCATTTTAGAGCGCAGCACTTAGGCACCCGCTTCCCAGTTCCGTGGCATCACTGTCGGCATAACCGTGCTAAATTTAACAAGAAAATTGACGTCACGTGACCTCAACAGCAATTCAATTTCCCGTTAAATTTAGCGGGGAATTGAGTTGCTGTTGAGGTCACGTGGCATCAATTTTTCAGCTAAATTTAGCGGCGAAACTGTGGGAGGAGGGGAGGGTAAAGAGCAGGAGGAGGGGAGAGGATGAAGATGGATGAAGGAGGATGAGGGGAGAGGATGAGGAAGGGTAGGAGGAAAGGAGGACGAGAAGCAGAGGAGGACAGGAGGAGGAGAGGGCATGAAAGAGGAGGAGGCACATACCCTCCCCTTTGTACCCTTCCCTCCTCCTTCTCAAGAGCTGTGCTCTAATTTTGCATTACAGGGATTTGTAAACTTCTTTCAATTTTTTGTAAGGGAGAGGATGTTTTGCCGGCAGCTGGCATTGGAGCTCGGGAAAGAAATTGCCGGCAGTGTTCTCTCGATGGCTGGCTACCATCGAGGGGAGTCCAACTCCGCCAAAATTTTCTAGGCACTCTCTGTTGGAATTCCAAAGAGATGAAAAGTGTGTATCCACATCTCCGATTGACGGCAAGTGCAAGTGCAGCCGTACCTTTGATCGGACTGCCACAGGAACGCTGCCACCACACCTGGCTTACGGTGCAGAAGAAGGGGGGTCCGGGGCTTAGGTTACATTTTCCCGGTGTTATACATTAGAGGCTTTTAGGAGTTCTGAGATTTTGTTTTGCTGCAAAAGTTGCTGTCTTCAGTGTCAGTGCCTGCTAATTATTTTACAGCGCACAAGTGAGTGTCACACACACCGCTTGTAGGGCCCACGAGTTTAATTCCTTTTCCACGGGCATTTTGATAAGACAATGAATTTAGTCTTCTAAAAAAAAAAGAAAAGGTGAATCAATGCAAGTGATGGGCTTGCCGATTCTAGACCGGTTAATGGGCGTCTAAAGCAGTCAGCACCCTTTTTCCAACGTTCATTGGGGGGATCAGTGGCTGGGTGGGTTAGCGCACACCAGCTCAAAACACGTAGAGCAAAAGCTCGCTTTGCTGTGCTGGCTGCGGGCAAAATGTTTACGTCCTTTTTGTAACTCTCACCAGGCACTGTGGGATGTTGCCAGGATGACCTTTTGGGGATTAGGCAAAAAGCATAAAACCCACACCCCCCGTCTGCTCCCCCAGCGAAGGAGTAAGACTACAGTGTACTAGAATACGGGGTAGCGTTGGGACCGGCGTGGCTCGGCAATGGGAGCTGGTGAGGCTGCGTCTGTAGACAACAATCTCGGCGCTGCAGTCGTCACGATAGCAGTTAGTCGTCGCAGTTTGCCAAGTATGGCAAATATTGCATCAGGAATTCGTAAGCATTCGCAACATGCGCCTATCGTAGCACATGTGCACACAACCCTACTAGCGTACTAGAGATACGGCAGTCTCGACACCTATCGCGATCTTAACCATATGCGTCTTGCGAGCTGCCCGGATCCCAACACTACCCCGTATTTCAGTACACCGGAGTATACACTTTTGCAAGAAAGGCTCCTGTGCGCTGCCATTTTGAGCGATGCTGGCGCCCCGTACCGTTTCCGCCATGCTGGGGTGCGCCAGGGGTACGTCAGTGGGGTGCGCGATGACAAGATGGGGCCGTTTGCTGCCTCGCCGATGGCTAAAGTTAGCGGCACACTTACTGTCTCGGAACGCAGGAGGAGGTATCCACACAGTATCGTAGTATCACATATTGTAGACGGGACATCTTTAAGGGTTGGAGCTGACTTTATAACGATCGCAGCCTCTGTTCCTGCATGTTGTGGAAGCCAGAGCTGCCGCGAGCGCAGCCATCGTTGATGCAAAGGCCATGCGACTTGTGGCGCATTCTGAAGAGCGCCTTGAGACTTTAGATATTTTTGAAATTTTTTTATTTGTTACCGGTTTAGGCATTTTATTTAACTGTCCTTGCTCTTTCGCGGTCGAAGACGACACGTGTACGTTTTATAATTATTTTTTAAATTTCTTTCTGCCCTCAGTGGTGTATGCTTCGGCGAGAGACGCTTGGCAACATTGTACGACAACCAGCAAACGTCCTGGCTGGAGAGTAGGTCCGCCTCACCTTGGCGCGCGGTTCGAGGTTAAGCCGGGATTCCACTTGCAAAGGTGTATAATAGCAAAAGTTTACTCAAGGTGGTCCACATTTTTGTTGTGAACAGCTCATTCTAGTTATGCGCATCAATTATTCTCGGAGCTGGTGCCAAAAGGTGAAACCAGTGGCATGTAGATCATTTAACCAGATAAACCAGTTGTTCTAACATATTGCGATGTAATTCAGTGCAGCGATTTCATCAGATTGCCCACCATGGCGTCCCAACCCTCCATGGCAAAAGTTACGTGGCCCTACCTGACATTCCAGCGGAAACTTGTGTACTCGAAAGACATTCAACGAAGTTAGACGGCCAGAAATCAGCAGAGATGTGTAATTGTTTTGTGTTTTTCGTGCACGCGAGGGCGTGCACGGGCAGAACATTGCTTCGTCAACAGTGCGTCGTCACCATGAGTGTTTTTCTAAAGCGAAATTACGCTAAGCCTGCCGGACGTAGTTGAAGAAGGGTGTAAAGGATTCTGCCACTCATGCTCGATCGTGCCCGGGAAAAGTGAGCAATGCGTTTTCGACGACAAGTAGAGATATCGTGATTGGGATAAAGCTGTCACAGTGTGCACAACTGCGCAGCTTGTTTGCAAAAAAACAAGCAGCGTGTTTCCAATGACGAGTGAAGATATTGTGATTGTGATGAGGTCAACCTAACGCGGCGGTCCCGTGAATGATGTTCACGTGGATACGGACGCGGATGTCAAAAGGCTATTTTAGATTTTAGAATCCAGGCAATGGGGTAAGAAAACTAGTTTCACGTTCGACTTGTTACAGTCACGCAACATACCTGGGAACATATCCCATTCGTTCAAACTGTTCTGTTTGGGCAAACACACTGAAACGCTGTTGTGTTTGACGGTGTGGGCAAGTAATAAAATCGAAAGGGTGGTACTAGTGGTTTCATGCTATGTTTCACGTCTTGTTTTAATGGTGTCACAAACAGATGCTTGATTGCATACTGAAAAGGAAAATCTGGCTCTTTGAAATTGACATTTCTGAAATTCATGTGGAACTAACCCCAGGTTCAGTTTCATCTGAAAAGATCTGAAGTCCTCCACTGACACACTCTCTCAAAATTTGCTTTATCTTTTTTTTTTTTAGTTCTTCCATAGGTCTTTGTTAGAGTTCGTTCAGGACTCTCGCATAAACCACCTGTTTACAAGCTCGCATGCACATGCAAAGATAACCGTCGGTAAACATCTGCACTAAGATTTAAAAAAAAAAAAAGGATAATCATTATTATTTTAGTGACTAAACATTTTATGCAGTACCAGTATGCTGGTCTGTGTCAGTGGTCAACGTTATGAAAATCTGGGTTCAGGCTCAAATATAGAGTTGTATTCGGCAAAATATTAATTAATATTTCTATCAATCCTTTATTCGCATAAGAACTCAAGAGAGATTCGTTCGATCAAGTTTCTTGGCTGTCTGGAATTAAGTAATCCTAGCATCGAGCAAGCAATAGACACGCGTGTGACACAAACTGTTTGCGCTCGACGGCCGCCGAGCTGCGGCTGGTTGTATCTTTTATTTCACGGCGATTGAGCCACAGCAAAGTTGCTCAGTCAATTGCAAAACATTACAGAATTCAAGAAGCCAGTGGATGCAGAAAACATAACAAAAGAGCGATTTAATTGCAGAAGACACAAAACATAGTGGTGATGTTTCCCTTTAAAAGCATGCAAACAATACCCGAACCGGAAGTGTTCTCGGCTCCTTGTCATGGCAGCCGGAAGTGGCCTGAATACCATGTAACGTGCCTTGCACCTGACGTCATCCCATCAAAAGAGGGGAAGAAGGAGCTTCCCTTTCACCGGAACACTCTTGTGTGTCCCAGACGTCACTATTCTCCCTCTACAAGATTATACATGATTAACCTGACACTCGAAATTCGTGCAAAAGCAGCTTTCCCCTCTCTCTCCTCCGCGGTGGTCCGAAATGGATTATGTGACGTCAGTGCAAGACCATGTATACGCATACTATTACTCGCTCCTAGCTATCATTCTCCTTGCTTACACAATCTGCAAAGAAGGCGGATAGATGGATGAATGCGAACAGCTCTACCCTTTATAACGGGCAATAGGTTGCGCCAGTTAGCCTAAAAACCAAAAGTATAAAGCTTCTTGCCAGCTTCTTTTTTTTTTTTTTTTCTTTTTGTAAATATTAACAGGTGGTGTGGGGCTTCACGGCGCACCAAGGCTACCGTGCACCGAAACAAACCCAAGAGCGCGCGATAGGTGCAAGCACACTGGACAAGGTATCTGACCGTGAAAATACGGAAGTGGCAGATGCACAGAACAAAATGAATGACGAAGGAGGAGCCAATTAAGGATTTTAGGCTGCTTGCAGGACTCACGCGAAAGTGAGCAGCAAATGGCACTCGTAATGACGAGGAAAGTATTACAAATAAAGTAGTGTAAAAGGAAAAGTGGGGCAACGAAGTACAGGAACGGAAACCAGGCAAAGCGCCGAAGCGGCTGCTTGAAATGAACCGCTCTCGCGGCATGCCAAGTTCAAAGTTCTGCACCTGGGTGCGATTAGTTCGCAAGATAAGTGCGCCATGAGCGCCATAAAGTACGAAAGGCACGACGCAAAAGGGAACAAATAGTTACCTTGTGAGCCGCTGTTGCGTAAGATTTCGCGCTGAGACTTCTGAAAACTGAGCCATCACCAGAAACCACGCCGAAAATCCACGACCGGCACAACCTGAAGGAACCCATTTTGTTTGTTGCTTACACATTGGATGGATGGATTTTAATTGCGCTACCCTATGTAACGGGCGGTAGCTTGCGTCACCTAGCCCAAGTCTAAAAAGACAAAAACGTGATTCCTCCCGCCCTTTTAAAGGGACACTGACACCCCCCAAAAATTTTTTTTTCATTTTTTGCCAGGCGCTTCATTATGGTGTCGGAGGACTACCCAATTAATATTTTGCAACAGAGTAGCGTATTTCTTTAATAAAGCCAAAAGACGCAACTGCTCGAAACCGAAACCGAAACCCGACGGAGGTCGGAGAAGTGGGCTATGTTCCAAATCTTACCCGAGTAACCTGCCTCCTACGTCAGCGGGTAATACCACGTGACATCGCGAGTAAACGATCCGCGACTCGATTTTGGAACGGCCAGGATAATCACCTGGATACTACGCGGATTGGCTTCGTCTTGGGCGACGGCAAAAAGAAAACACAGCTGCGATGGCCGAAAATAGCAGACGATCCTTTCTCCTGCGATCATGGAGAAAGCACCCGAAGAACGGTAATGTTAATGACGACGCGGTGTTTTTTGAGGTGGATCCACCAGCTCCTTTCACTCACCTTCGTTTTGAGCTGTATATTGAGATCAAAATTACTTACTCCTTACAGCTAGACATAAAAAAATGTGTTTTTATTAATCAGCGCGATCGCTGCAATTCTAGTCACGGTGCCCTAAACGCATATATTCCACGCATTGTAATTTGCACCGATTATGTTTTGCAGGAATATATTCCACACGGTGTAGCGGTACAGCGCGAGGGTGCTTTCTCCAGAATGATATGAAACTCACGTTCGCTTTAACGCGAATGTGATTACAGTGAAATTTTCGAAGCATTCACTGCTTTACAAACCTTATCCTCTCGTTACACGCACTCTGGAGGAAACAAAAATACTACATTGTCATATACCGAGGTCAAACATTTTCGGCCTTGAACGTGAGAATACGGCATTCCCCCAACGCCGAGGACGAGGATGCGGAGAAGCTCCTGTTTACGCTCGCACTCAGATAATAACAAGTACACGTTCCCGGGGAAGGTGGACGGTCTGGATGTAATGCAGTCAATTCCTGCGTTGACAACAGCAAATCGCAATAACCACACATGCTGCACCTAATTCTTTGTCATTTCGAACGTCCGCCACCAAAACCAACGAAGCAAGCGTGCTTTGACGGCTGTCGGCGCAGAAAGCAGACGACGAACAGATCACGTGACGTATTTACTCGATTTGATCCGACTTTACCCTCCGATCGAGGAGGGTAGCGCGAGTAATTACTCCGGAGTAAACAACCCGCTTCTGGAACGCGAGTTCTGACGTCATCGAGTAAGCTCGAGTGAGTTTTGGAACGCCACGGTACGAAACTTTTACTCCGGAGTCGGATCGAGTAAATTTTGGAACACAGCCGTGGAGAGAAGAGAGCGACTAGCGGAAGTCACGTGGCTACACCCGACCGTACGGGTTTTTTTTTTTTTTTTCTCCTCTCCGGTAGCAGACGACACGACATGCGGCGTGCGATGCGGCGTGCGGGAACTGCTTGCCGTGCGATTTTTTTGCAGTTATGTTTGTTCCGCTCGTTGTTCTGTACTCCAAGATGAGTTGTTTTGTGCATTGAGGAGTTGGAGATGAGTAGTGAGTGCCCGTGGTGAATTTCCATGATCGGCCCCGAAAAGAATAAACCCAAGGTGTTGCGTGAAGAGCTGGCTCACATGTCCTGCATCCGAAAAAAAGTAGCATTGTGCGACAGTTTCCGAAAGATCAACGGGATCGGGACCAATGGCTGGCTGCAATTCCTGTAGAACATTTACGGGCACCTCGGAAAGCGGACGCTACCTGATTTATATGCTCCTTGCATTTTGTGGAAAGTGATTACATTGAGTTCGCATGTGTCAAAACGGAAATACCATACCGTTTAATTCAGCGAAGTATCGTCCACAATATTTGTTTGTTATTTTTTCGTTTGTTTCTTCAGTGATGATTGTAAAAAAAAAAGAAAAAGATATGTAAACATCAAAAAATGATTGAAAAAAAAAAAAAAAAAATTCACGGGGGATCGAACCCGGACCGGGTTCGATCCCCCGTGAATTATTTTTTTTTTTTTTTTTTTTTTCAATCATTTTTTGATGGGGGGGGGGGGGGGGGGGGGGCGGCGGTGGCGCCTTTCACCAGTGAAGTTCAACACATATCCGAATGCGTCTGCGCCTGTAATATTGCACGGCTGGTACGTCATCAGCCGACGTGAACGTGACCTGCTGCTCTAGTGATCCGATACCCAGGAAGGAGGCCAGACGTGGCCTCGCTGTGCGGACCCAGACATCGTACACTTTCGACTCGTCTCGAGCGCGCTGCTTCTCGAAGAGCCCGCACCTGTGCCGGCCATCTCAGGTCGCAATCCACGAGGACCCTGCATGAATGATGCTAGGCGAAACTTGAAGACATTCATGCGCTGGAGGCGGAGAGTCGGCAGGAAGCACCGTCACAACAGGGATGCCACCGTATCGATTTTTCAACCGTAACAGAAGATAATACATGCGCTTCAGGATGCTTCAGGTGGTCCACTTTTCTCGAAAATTCCAAATGCAACTGCCCGCGTGGCCTTCAACGAGGTCAGCTACAACGAAAGTATGTATTGTCCTTTCATACAGCAGCGTGGGTAAAGTTTCATGTTCAAGGCAACACCTACAGATTCAAGAGTACTGGTTCATCCCACCGTAACGTCATGCAGTGCTGACAGGGGCGCCCTTATTGGGCGGGGAAGTGGTGAGTTTTTGATGGAATTTATTTTACAGGTCAGTCTTTTCGCATCACTGGTCAGTCAGACAGGATGTCATGGAAGGGACCGCGGTCAATCCTTGATGGAACGTTTTTTAAACCCATTTAGGACTCTTCATCCGGAACCACTAACTTCAAGGCAAAGTGCCAAGCCTAAGGAAAAGTAATTAAGGGATAAAAAAAAAAAAAAAAAAGAAACTTCCACTTCAAACTTAAAGCCTCATCTCAGTTGGCGTCTCAAAGAAATTTGAAAATGTATTGTATTATCAGTATTTATATTTCTGCCCTCCCTAAAATGTATTCTTGTATTTGTATTTCCAAAGACTTTTTGCCTCTTTTTAAAATGTATTTCCGATACGTATCACGATACATTTTTATGGATATATTTGAGACTTGAGTATCAGTATTTTAGCTACTATTTTCATCTATCCCAGTATTTGTATTTCCAAATACATTTCTGGATATTTCTGCCGAACCCTGCAACGTAATGCAGCTGTCAAGTGACACTTTTAACGTTTAGGAATTGGAGGAATGGAATGGAGCGACTCAGCCATTCCAGGAGTTGAAATGGGCCCAGTGTCCCCATTCCTAGGAGTTGAAAGGAATGGAATTATCGAAAACTCTATTTCCCCGGAATGGAATTTGAATGGAATGGGGGTGCCCATTCCGCAACACTGCTGAAGACAACGCTCGCGCAAACGTCAAGCACGACGTGTCTACTTCGAGTTGAATATGCACGCGTACGATTTCTTTACTAGGTGCGAATGTCCCCAAAGCGTGGTGCTTCCCGACTTCGACCCGGGAGTGCTTTTGCTAGAGAAAAATCGACAGCAAACTTTCCAACTTACAGTTTACCGGCTGAATTATTACTAAGAAAAGAAATCCACCAGAAAAGAGATGCCGAAAGGCGTCCGCTTCACACGCGGTAGGACCGGGTTCAATCCCCCGCGAAATTTTTTTTTTTTCAAACATTTTCCGATGCTTACATATCTTTTTTCTTTTTTTTTTTACAGTCATCACTGAAGAAACAAAAAAAAAAAAAACAAATGTTGTGGACGATACTTCGCTGAATTAAATGGTATGGGATTTCCGTTTTGACACCTGCGAACTCAATGTAATCACTTTCCACAAAATGCAAGGAGCATATAGATCAGGTAGCGTCCGCTTTCCGAGGTGCCCCTAAATGTTCTACAGGAATTGCAGCCAGCCATTGGTCCCGATCCCGTTGATCTTTCGGAAACTCTGTCGCACAATGCCACTTTTTTTTCGGATGCAGGACATGTGAGCCAGCTCTTCACGCAACATCTTGGGTGTATTCTTTTCGGAGCCGATCATGGAAATTCACCACGGGCACTCACTACTCATCTCCAACTCCTCAATGTACAAAAAAACTCATCTTGGAGTACAGAACAACGAGCGGAACAAACATAACTGCAAAAGAATCGCACGGCGAGCAGTTCCCGCACGCCGCATCGCACGCCGCATGTCGTGTCGTCTGCTACGAAAAGGAGAAAAAAAAAAAAAAAAAACGCACGGTCGGGTGTAGCCACGTGACTTCCGCCACTCACTCTCTTCTCTCCACTTCTCCGACCTCCGTCGGGTTTCGGTTTCGGTTTCGAGCAGTTGCGTCTTTTGGCTTTATTAAAAAAATACGCTACTCTGTTGCAAAATATTAATTGGGTAGTCCTCTGAAACCATAATGAAGCGCCTGGCAAAAGAGAAAAAAAAATTTTTGAGGGGTGTCAGTGTCTCTTTAAAGGGACAATGAAGGCAATTTCGGAGATCTTTTTGGCGATTGAACTGGGTTCCAGGCACGTCTCAGGCCACGTTGCCCAAATTTCAGCCGAAACCGGCGCTTGTGTGCCGCGCAAATCAATGAAACAGTCGCGGTAATAATCGTACCGGGAACGACTGGGGCGACGCCCCAAGAGTTGCGGGAGACGCCAGGAGAAGCGGAGCTCACGTGACCGATGCGGGGCCAAAGAGCGCGACGTCACAAGAGACGCGTCAGAGATTGGTCGAAACGAGAAACGTGCCCTCGGTCACGTTTTAGTTCGCGATTTTTAGAAATACTGTTCTAATTTCCGCTTGAATAACCATCAAAAGTATAATTCGGATCGGAAATGATTACTAAACCGTAAATAAAGCAGCATCATTGTTTTTTTCTTTGCTACGCTGGACGCGAAACCGGCAACGAGCAACTATGGGCCAACAAAATAAAATTAAAAAAGAACACGTACGGTACTCGAAAGATCCGAAAGATTTTGCAAAATGGTAGCTGTAGATGGCTGTTCTAACGGTCGACTGAAGACCCGTTCGGGCGACGCTAGTTTTCA